GCTGAAGCGTTACGAATGCCAATCCAGAGCTGTTGATGCCTGTAAGTCTTTCATTTATCCGCTCGACGTTATGTTTAACCCGGGGCGGTTCTTTTTTGTTCATCTCCGTGATTTTTGCCTATAATTATCTCGAACGTGTTCATTAGCAGCTCAGAAAGCGATCTCTAAGCGTTGCGAGCGGGACCGAAGCCTGTTGCCCAGGGCTCGTCAGCTGTTACCGTAGGTCGCTGCGACTTCGAAATTCCTGCCTGCGGTTTTAAACTGTTTGGTTCTGCCATATGCGAAGTCGTTAGCTTGCTCGCATCCTGTTTATGCACAAAATACACAAGCGTGATGGATGTGGCTGTGATTTATTTTCCCACTGCTGTAACTTCAACCATGTAAAGTTTAGTGTGTGAATGCTGCGCTGACAGCTAACACGTTTTTAACAGTCTGACTTCTGATACTAGTGCTGATTGGATTTTGGTGATCTGTAATAAATGTAAATAGATTAATGAGAAAGTAATTCATTTGTGATAAGTGGCAGTATTTTTAGACATACCTTTGATAAGTCTCAGTTCTTATTTGTGCCACATGGTCACTGTTCGTGTCTCCCTGTCGTGCTCCTGCGGTTTTATGTTGGACTTATTATGAAATTTAGGATTTGTCCATTATTTTTCTCATCATTATATTTTTGAATTCTGGTTCTTGTTTGATTTCAGCGTCATTCTAGTGGTGTTTTATTGTGTGATTTATGGGCTCCTGTGAAATTAGTGACCCCCAGGTTCTGTTATTATTTCAACCTACCACCCACCCCCTCGTGTTTCTGTCTCTTCCTTCCTCTGTTATCATTTTTAGTATACATCTTCTGGTCATTTCCTGTTTTACTTTGATGGTTGGTTTTCTCGTGGGTCTTGTCGTCACCTATCCTGATTCTCTTGTCCCTGTTCTGTCCCTAATCCCCAGTTCATCCCCCACATGTCATATCTTTGTTTCAGTCCGTCATTTTCTTTGCCTCCTTCTGCTTCTTTGGAGATGTGTAGATTTTTGCCTTTCACTGGTTTTCATCTTTTTGTGCTCTTTTTTGGATTTATTTGTTTAAATAAAACAAACAAAAAACATAGATTTTTTAAGAGCAAGACTAACCTTTCATGCTTAAGGTTATCCAATGTTTTTAAATATGATTGCACTGGTCCTGGACTAGCATCCATATTGAAAGTGATGCATGTCTTAATGCATCTTTAGCCATGACGTTGTGTGTTGCAGCACCAACACCCTGTTTACGTCTGCGATATCAGCGGTTTTATGAAATAACTGTACTCAACACCTCGGGAATGACAGCTGTCTGGTTTTAGGTAGGCGGGTACACCCTGTGCAGGTCACCAGACTATCACAGGACCAGTCAGAGTCAAAACTAGTCAAAATACATGACGACGCCAGTCAAAACCAGATAAGATTGCTCCCCCTCTCCTGTCAGCATGGTAAAATCACAAAGCTAGCTCTGTAGCTTAGCATGAAGATTGGATGAGGGGAAGATTGTCTGGTAATGAATTGCAGATTATTTAATGTATACGATGCTAGTGTTTATGCTAAATGTGACTGTGGGAATCTATCGATCTGCAGCAGCGATCTGCAAAAATCAGCCAGAGTCCCTGAGAATAAGTCGGCCTAATACTTACAGAGCGCTTGGGTCATATAGGATCTGTTGTAGTTTTTCATATGTAAATATTTCTGCTGGTCACTTGAATGTTTTGCCAAGAAGATGATTGGCATCTTGGATTAAATTGTTCTTATTACCTAAAGGAGGTTATAAAACACATTAATGAGAAATCCCTGGGAGAATATCTGTGCCTCACCGAGGACGTGGAGGGATTAGTTTCCTGTCCCAGATAGTTTTATCACTGACCTGCCCTCATACTCCAAATCTCAACCCGCTGTTTGTTGGTTTTAGTCTGGAAGACTGCGAGAGGGGGCCGCTGTGTCGGAAGCTGGCACGGTTTACTTTGCTAAATTTAAAGGAGGAAACTGCAGTAAAAGGAGTGAATAGAGGAAAGTATCCAAGCCTTCATCTAGAAACTTTAGATGCGGAAATAATGGAGCTGTGCCACCTCTCGCGATGCAGCA